CGTTGTTCGAAATGATTTTGTGCCTAGTAAAGTATCGTTGCTTTACTCGTACTGAGTTGAAGGCACCAGTTGCATGTGTCATCAGGTAATGCAACTTTATATCGTTATCCATTGCAGCTGCTGCTTCATAAACCAACCAGCTTGCCAGTTATATTATTTATGCCTTCTGGTATTTCAGCGGAAGCCGTGTTCGCGCGTTGTTTGTCAGCGATGAAGGAACGAGCTGAAGCGAGCAGCGTTTTGCCCCAACCCGCCTCGGCTCGTCCAACTGAAGGCTACACAGACCACGTGAAAGCGGTGCGTTCGAACGTGCTTTTTGGCATGCAGTTTTGTACTTTCTGCATTCAACCGTACTTTTGTAGGCATTGTATGCATCTAAAATCATCTCCTATGCACAAGGATTTATGTTACTGCAAAAAGCGGCGTCTTCTTTTGGCTGGAATTTAAATTTTTGCGAAATAGCGAAGCTCTGGCGTGGTGGCTGCATCATTCGCAGGTTGGGTGCACGTCAGCATCGTAGCAGCAACGACATTGTAACGCGTGCAAATTTTAGTGCCTTTCTTAAACGTATCAGCGAAGCTTATTCGAGGAATCCGAACCTCGACAACCTGCTATTTGATCAGTTTTTCTGTGACGCTATTAAACGCTGTCAGGTAGGAAATCTTTTTCGAGTGATTGCTAAAAGCTGAATATTTAGGGCATATGAAAATGCCGTTATAAGTAGATGAAGTGTTTATTCATGTCAGAGACAAACCTGAACATTTTCAGCATGCATATAGTTATATTTATGTACGGAGGGCCAGTAAGGCGTTCTCAGCGCTTAATCGTAAAGATTGAGAACAGTCAATGAACAGAATAGCATGACGGGTGCAAAATGCAGCAGAGTTTCTGCTCCTTAGCCATTACTGTAGGCTAAAATCCTGCTGTGATTCTCTAAACGGATGGCTGATACTGTAGTAACTAGAGTCACAGAAGCTGTTCACACTTTTGAGGCAAGTTCATTTCAGGAAAGGAAGTAGGCGACGCTTTCCTTTACGCCCTTGACGCAGATTCGTGTCAGAGAGGTACATTTTACGTACAAGCCCGATCAGAAGGATTTAAATGTACCATCGGTTTTATTTCTTGAAGAAAGTACATAATTGAATTTACCACCCTGTCTATCCTATGAACAAGGCGTTTCGTAGACCTGGTGAACAATGGTTGATAGATAATTTCAGGAAATAACGGTGAAATGATTTCCTTATTGACCTGGACAACTAAACTTCTGAAAATCCAGTCTAGAAATTGTGTAACAGTTTTCATTAGTATATTGTGTAGCACGCCGGAAATGCTATAAAAAAATATTCCGTCCACGGAATGAGCACATAACGGTCATCAGGTTACCCGCAATCAAAGTTTTCAAGTGGATATCGCCCGTCTGCCATTGCAGCATCACTTGTCTAGGCATTAATGCTGGTGTTGACTCCCAGTGTTCTAACCGTTGTGTTGCCGTCGTCTCTCGTCCTTCAGGGAACATAACACGGTTTCATGAGCTCCACTTTATCTTGGAACGTGATGTCTTTTTACTCATGACAACAGTCTGTACTTACTTAAACACAGGTAAATATAAAGTAATGAAGCATATATTTAGCTATAAATTTTATTAAACAAATTCAAGACGTCACGGATTGACCTGCCCCAAAGCTGCGTTTTGTTGCTGACATTCAATATATCTGGAGATGCCGTTTGATGATCAGCGTTAGAAAGCACCACTGAAGTATTAATGTCAGAGGAACGTCAATCGTAAACTTCCTACCGCAGATGTGGTACTAATCTTGGCTTCTCCAGCGGATTTGTATCGACATATATTGAAAGTCAACATGTGGAGCAGTAATGCTGGTCGTAATTTCAACCTAACGATTGCTAAGGTGACGAATAGTCTGAATTTGCCTCCTGGCTCCTTCTTATTGGACGAAAATGATGGCCGCAAGAAGGATATTCATTACTGTTTATGGAAGCGAGCGCTTCCATGACAAAACTCGAAACTTTTTATCACAGTTATAGTACTAGCAACTTCACAGAGCTGAGATCTGTTGAATCACCAATCTGATCGGTTGTGAACTACGAATACGAAAATTAGATGATCCGGAAGGCAGAATGTTAACCGCTTGATTTGCGGTGTTACAAATAATTGCCCGGAACCCGTTGTAGCGGCATAAGTAATCGATGTTGAACAGAAAGTATGATATGTTTGATTGCGTTATAAGAGGCAGTTTCGACCATCTGAAAAAGAATAGTCCTACCAGACTTGACGCGGGATGGTGACCTACAGAAGGACCAAGGCGATATTGGATAACTAAACATCATCGACTGGAATCGCACAGAAATGTTGCATGAGCTAATGCATCATTCCGTCTGGAGTATAAGCAGAATGACAACTACTGTTTATTTTTCTTTAATGAAATAGTGATGTTCCTTAGTGTCATAGCGATTCTTCTTAAGACAGAAGGGAAAGAAAAATTTGTCACCATCAGAATGTCGATCATCCTTCACCTTCATGATGGCCATTTTGGCGCCCTTCTTTTCATGAAGTTGATATTGCGGTGCTGATCTCCGTTTTTACCATCAACTTGGTGTCCCTTATTTTTAAGACACAATCTGCAGCGCTAGCAAGTAGCGTGTAGCCTCCTGGTTTCTTACCACAGAGTGCTACTTACTTAGTAACTTCAGAAGGAAAAGGGGTGAGTGACTCCAACTGGGACTTGAACTCTGGACCTATCGGTTCTAAGTTCGATGTCTACCGACCGAGTAACGTTGATCTAAAGTAATGTGTTGTAAATTTTTGCTCGGGAATTATATAAATATTACATCGCTGAATGGAATCCGGCACCTCCAAAATTTGAAACAGACCTCTTAGGCACTGTGACAACACGCCACACCATCATAAAAGACTCCCTGGTGAGTAGATGAAATGTCGTGTAGTGTAACTAGGTTAGGCTGTAATTTGACGCCTTATCAATGTTATATCTTTTGCATTGGGACATTATGAATATTTGCTTAAATTCAGATGCTCGTGCAAGTGATCGTAATGATAATACAAAGTCATTTAGTTTTCTCTGCGCAAAGTGGTCTCGGCAGCCGTTTTGTATGGTTTGCCAGTCCCAGCGTTTTCTTCTGCATTGGCGTTTTATGATGGACTGAGGTGCCCGACCCTTCCGGCAAACTTGATCCAGGTGTGAAATTTTATTTGTTAACATCAGTGCAGATATATCTGTAGGAGTAGATGAAAAAGTTAAAATTCAATCTTAAATGTTTTGAGGGACAGCTTCTTGCATAGCAGTATAACTATGAGTATAATAACAGTATGAGTAAATTATTCAAAAAAGAAAGAAATATACGGTAATGGTGCAATAGATGCAAAAAATGCACTTCACATAAATAATAGGAAAAACAAGATTGTTTCAGAGTTTAAGTTATTTTCAACAACTTTTCTCGTAGTGGCTTGCTATAGGAAGGTATTTGGGCAGCCATCAGGGTATTCAGTTTTTTTATACACTGTCCCTCTGGCACTCGTTTATCTTTCATTATGTCGGATATAGTTTACAAGCATTAGGGGAAATTTCAGCGGTAGAAAGAGTGCAGTCTTCGAAAAGCGTATACAGGGCATTATGTTGTAGATGCACTACAGTACATGCAACTTAAAAGCCACCATATAAAAGATTTGAAATGTTACAAGTGTGATCCTTCATACTGACTCCATGAGTGATTTCTGAATCTATAGCTTCAGATCTTAGGTTGCTTAATGCTGATACTGTTTGAAGATGCCGCGCATCGCCAGAAGTCCATAGGCTGGTAGCTCAGGGTAAGTCATGTAAACAGTTCAATCTCCACTGCAACATTTTAGCATCAGTGAACACTTTTCGATCTTATAAGTAATGAGTTAACTTCAGATTTTGTCTGGCTTATCATCATTTTTGTTATCGACTGCTTTATAGGCCTTGCGGGACAATTTCGGTGCTCATACTTACGAAAGAATTGACAACCCCGGAGTCTTCGTGCACACTGACTGGACAGGTCACGGAGGCCGGGTCGCCTCCAGTACCTATTCACTTTAAAATTCAGTGTTGGCTACCCAAAATTTCTGTAAGTGAAACTGTTTTTGTGACCAGTGACTTTTTTAAAAATTTTAGGCATAAACAAAACTCAACTCATGGATAGATATTCCGTTTTGTTGCTCTTTTTTGTGAAATTCTTTTTGCCATTTTGTTGGTTTACTGTGATAAATAAGGCTGTTTCGTTTTTTATTAGATTTGAAGTGCAAAAATTTGCCACTGTTTTTTAAATAGTATTGTCGCTCTAACTTAACTGAATGGTCAAAGTAAAATGAGTTGAATTTTTGACATATTTTGCATAGCTAGCGGGAAACTGTTTTGCTAACGAGACCTTCAGGTTTTAAATCAGCGATAGTAGTCAAGACTCGCCAGGAAAACAGTATTATCAAGCATCTTACATACAATTTATTGCTAGGGCGATAAAGATTTATAAGACTTTGTACGGCAACGCATTTCTTGGAACCTCTGTACTTTTCGCATCTACCAGAACGCATCTACCACTTCTAGTGCATGCTAATACTGTTTTGCCCGAAATAAATTGTCGAAAACTATTCAGTGGACCTGTACGAAAGGAAATGCGAAGAATCAAACCCTGCAATTAAATTTCTACCATCTCCTTTCGTATCGCGGAAGCAGACGCGCTAGGCTGCTTCCAACGTTCCCAATTCTGTGCCAGCGTCTTAGATTTCACGAACGATAACCGGTGTCTAGAGCAGAGTTCTTCAGTACATTTGCTCCAAGATGATCTTATCCGTTCCAGGTGTTTTGTTCCGGTCGGTGGAGCAAGTTGTAGTTCTTTTGACTTCTATTCTGAAGACGTTCGCAGCACATGCCCAAACCATCACAATTGTGGCTTTTCAATCTGCAAAAGCAGCGGCTGTACCCCAAGCTCTCTCGGATATCCAAACCCTGTCGAAACCTGCGAGGCCAACGATTCATCTCAGAAAGCCCATTTCAGCAGCCTGTACCCGTAATCGAAGTTTTTCAGATATGGTGCACAGCTCATAAGTGCACATGAGCATGGGAATGAAAATTCCAATACAGAGAGCTTAGTCTTCTGACTCACCTTTCTATCGCTTTAGACACAAGGGTTTGCCATACTTCTCTGACGATTCTAATCCATTGGTCCATCTCTTCCTCAAATTTTCCATCATCAGTAAACCGACCCCGAGGTACTTGAACTTTTCCACCTGCTCCACTGCTTCTCCGTCCATGCATCTGCAGCGGGCAGGAGAACGAGAAAGCACTAGGCTTTTCGTTTTAGATACGTTCAAACATATGCACTTGACTACGAACCTTTGCAAACATCAATTTCAGAAGATGCCATTAAAGAAGGTCTTTTGCAGACAACAGTCTTTTCGTCTTGACATTTCTTACGCGATATACTGGTAGCCATAGCTGCACATGACTATTATTTCCATGTACAACGCAAACCAGAGAGGGGTCAGAGGTCAGAATTGGTGGAGACTACTGCCAACCTTCAAAAGTCTCCGCTGAACACCATTTACTCTGAGGCAGCCACTGCTATAAACTTTTCGTGACGGCTCGAACCAACTGGTCAGCAATCCTACATGTTTGTAGGCACGTCCATAGACTGTTGCATGCGATCGATCGACAAAGCACATGTAAATTGGATATGCAAACTCCCACGATCTCTCAGCAATCCGGTGTAGGGCGAACATCTAGTCTGAGGTGCTTCGGCCACTGCTCTTGTATTTTGCAATCAGTTATTCTGCGGCGCCAACTTTGTAGCACCTTGGTGTAGACTTTACCCGGGAGGCTTAATAAAGTAATGCTCCCATAATCGGCGTATTCCCTGTGGTCTCGTTCTTGAATAGGGATAATGTAACCCTCGTTCTCCAGTCCGCTGGTGTCTTCTCCGTAGCGATTGCAGTTTGACAGGCACAAATAAACCAGTGCATTCCTTGTACACCTAATGCTTTGAACATTTCAGGGCGAATTTCATTTATTTCATCATATTTTCACAGCAGGTGCGATTTTCTCTACAGAAATACAAACATTCGCTATCTGCCGCTCTTCAGGCCAATCTTCCTGCGGTTGCTCATGGTTGGGGAGTTCGTCAGTACTCTCTCC